GTAAGCCTGAAAACAGGGGCAACGATCAAAGGGACGCTACCAGTTAGACAACAGATTATCCTCATTGCAAGTAGAACCACTCAATCCATAAGTGATCTGATCCCCTCCTCAGTAAATCCCGCAGCATGTAGCGGCTAACGACACCAGTTCTGTGTTGGTTTATTATTTTTCTTTAGCTACCCGAGTACAAAACACAAAAAATTTTACTGTACAATTTCTTATTTCACACTCCTGATATAGTTTTTCAAATGTACAACTACTGAAGCCAGCAAACAGCAGGCAGATTGCTTCAGTGTCAGTTTGTGTAGGTCCTTGGTTGCTAGCAAATAAAACGGACAATTTGAAAGCCATTAAAGTGGTTTTTCAATATAAAAAACTGCCTACATGAGTTTCTGGGCCATATTTTGGGGAGAAACAGAGACCCACTGCTCCCAAAACAAGCAGGTTGAAAGAGAAACATAGACCCACTGCTCCCAAAACAAGCAAGTTGTAAAAAGGTGACTTCTTAGAGATGTTTCCTTTGAGGTCTACGTGCATCTGCTTGAAAGGCCAGAAGCCAACAGTCTGCTCAACATAAGCAAAATCTTAGTGCTTTAATAATATCCTACCCCAAACAGGGGAAATCCACAAGTCACGGAACAGTCTAAGATTTCAGGGGGTGGTAAGGTAAGGCTGCATGCAGTCGTGGGACCTAATCTGCACTTTTGTGGGACGTAGGCAGGTTGGGCTCAGGGCCATTTCTAGATGTTTTGGGGCTGTTAGAGGCATCAGAAAGTTGGGAAACCTAGTCTAACCACCCTCTAAAATTTTCGACTGTCCTGTGACTGTCATCTGGGGTAGGATATTAATAAAGAACCAAAATCTTTGAAATGGACGTGCATAAAGTTCTGGAATAAGAGAAGTGGGAGAACAACCAGAACTTTCCGCTGGAGTGAACAGGCGGTGAAAGTGAAGAAGAATACAAAGGACCATGAACCAACTGCAGCTGTAGATATATTTGGAACAACATGACAATCAGAGAAAAACAACACGTTAGCCGAGTGAGTCAAATACCAGTGACAATTAGATCGCATCTATCTGGAAAACCAGGACTAGTTATCTGAAAGCATCAAGAAATGCATACTGCAATACATATTTTACATTTGGCCTCCGCATTCTAAAAGAAATCTGGCTAGATATTTTAATAATCAGCTTGGTACGGCCCTCTTTGGCACTAATAGTCACGCTCTTTTGTAATGTTGTTATTGTCTGCACTTCCCAACAGTTGTAAAAATGACTGGCACTGGATGAACTAAAACAAGACTGACAATCAAGAACTACCATTTACCACAATGCATTTTTATTTTACTACTGTTCATTTGTGTAAGAAGAATGCAGAAGGACTGAATAAACAAAACAGATATCAGAATTAAAGAGACAGCTACAAGTAATGGAGGAGAAAAGGTACAGGGATTAAGATTGAGGGATTCGTAAGGGGAGAAAATGTAAGGAACGAGAGATGGCAGCATAGAAAGAACAATCTGGGCATAATTAGGTACAATATAAGTAAATGTAATAAAAGTTAAAAAAAAATTCTTGCTTGCTACATACATCCAGTTTTAACATATGGCTGTGAATCCTGGACAATCAGTAGGCAAGCCAAACAATTTCTGGAGGCCTCAGAGATGTGGTTTTACAGAAGAATGCTTAGAATACCTTGGACAGCCAAAAAGAGCAACCAATAGGTTTTGAAAGAGGCGGAAGCCCGAAGACAACTTATCACAGACATCAGAAGGAGACATTATTTTTCGGCCATGTTATGAGAAGAGGGAAAATAGAACATGTTGTGACCAACAATTTCTGGAGGCCTCAGAGATGTGGTTTTACAGAAGAAAGCTTAGAATACCTTGGACAGCCAAAAAGAGTAACCAATAGGTTTTGAAAGAGGCGGAAGACCGAAGACAACTTATCACAGACATCAGAAGGAGACAGTCATCATTTTTCGGCCATGTTATGAGAAGAGGGAAAATAGAACATGTTGTGATCACTGGAAAGATATGTGGAAGGAGAGATAGAGGAAGACAACGAGAGAAGATGCTTGACAGTCTTGTCGCATGGCATGGAGGTGTGTCGGCACACGAACTGATACATGCTGCAGGAGATCGCAGATTATGGAGAGGCATGATCGCCCACGCCAGTCAGCAAGGCACCTGATGATAAGTAAATAAGAAAGCTACAGGAATATACAGCGAGGAAAAACATCAATAAAGGGGAATAATAGCCAAAGATATAAAGATGCAACCAGTGACTTAGAACCAACTTCTACAAATCTACTTTTATGTACAATAATGAATACAAATATGAAAGAATGCAAGGACACATAATAATTCTTTTATGTACACATCTCACATATACTTTCATGCATTCAGTGTACCGTTGTGCCATCATTTAGTCACACATGCCTGCAGCCTACTTCTCCACTCCATTCTATCTTGGGCAATCGTTTGAATATCATGGATGGAATCCAGTCCCGCACATTTGGCTTTCCCTCAATGTTTACCTTAGGGCAGGGCTATTCAACTCAGAGGCCAAAATGTTGAACCTGGCGACTGTCAAGGGCCAGAGCCCCGGTATAACAAGATCATTAATACAAGACACCTGGCAATGATCAATGGGCCACCTACTAGTCTTCAGCAGCTCAGATTTGGCCTGTGGGTCTCGCAAGTTCAACAGTCCTGCCTTAGGGCCTCTCTCTAGGATGTCCTTTCCTTAATCCCTCTATTTATAAAATATACAGTGAAATTAAATGAGCTGTTTAACTCTTCAGGTACCAAGGTTGTTTCCCCTTCACTCCCAAAGCAACATAAAATCATTTATGAATCTATAAATGAGTGTTGCTACACTCATTTATAGCTGTGACTTCAACTCCACCTGTCGTACAGCATCTCTTGTGTCAACTTCTTTAGACCCAAACAGTTAGTACTTTTAAAACATAACTCATTAGGGCAAGCATGTCACACATCCTGTACGGCAGGGTTATTCAACCAAGTCTACTCAGGCACCAAAATGTTGTTAATGTCTGTGGCATGAGTCAGTAAGACCTTGTACAATAAAGATATGTTCTGTGTTTCGAGTCTCATTTGGAACATTCTGGCCTTTGTCGTTGCCAAGCCTATTTATAATATCACGCCCAGGTCTGTAAGTGTCACATCCCTCTCTTCATCTTCGCAGATCCTGACCCAACCCTAACGTACTACTGGCCACCCGTTGGGACTCTAGGAACCAACCAGGCCTCCAGTCCGATAGCCATGCCATATGGGGTACCACCAACGAGCTCTGGGCAGTATGTGCCTGTGCTCTGCATGGCAATTTTAAGTTTAGAAGTCTGCTAGTTTTTTCTGAATAGACGTTGACATCAACACATTAGCAAGCCTGCTGCCAAATCCCCTTTAGCTGAACCAAACTTGGTATACTAGAATTAAGAAACTGTTTGTTACCTTCACACCACAGTAATCATCATCGTCTATCAATAGACCAGAATGAGGAAAAGTGACAAGTCTCTGGGACCACAATGGTTTTCTATTATCTATGTTTCTATTATCTATGCAGCTATTAATGATGCAGGACTGCCCAACTCAGCTGCCTAAATTTTGAAAATAGGGATCGGCAGGGGTCAGAGGCCTAATCTTCAACACAGAGAGAGATCATTAAGAAAGAATACCTGGCAATGACCCAAAGACACGCGATTGGCCTCTGCAGGCCAGATTCAGACTATGGGTTGCCACCAGAGCAACTACCAGCAATGACATTTATCAATATGTCTGCTAACAAACTAGCAGTCATAATACACAAGGGGGCATTCGCTGAACACATGACATTTTGATACAAGTTGCCCAAATGGACAGAAAAATAAAGTATAGTCTACTTGGGTATATAAAGAAATATTGCCGCCACCGTGTCAGGGTGACCACAACAACAGCAGTGATACATTTATGAAGTCTCTGAATGTATAAAGTAGTTAAACTCTTGAACGAAAACTGTGTACAATATTCACAGTGGCACAGGTTTAGTCCGGCAGTGGCCATGGCGGAGAGGCTAGACGCTCGCTGTGGATCGGAAGGTCGTGGGTTCGCTCCCGGACTTTTTTCACAAAATTACCATGTCTCCCAGGTTGACCCAGCCTTGAGTGCGTATCGGGTGCAGTGATGCTAACCATATCACCCATCTTGTGCCGATTGGTCTATAAATATTTTTGTCTAGCATGATATGCCTAAAAGGTGGAAAAGGGTCCTTTACTTACAGGTTTAATCCCCAGTAAAGACAGGTCATTTTGTCCCAGCCAGTTTGGACTCTACCAAGCCACACCGAACAGCAAGGGCAAGGAAGAGAACTCTTTCCATATGTCATGACTTGGACAATCTGAAAGTCTACTAAAGGAAATGCATCCGCAAATGGTCACCCCAATCAACACTACAGTAAAATAGAAACTCAACACTGGGGACACAGATGACTAGATTCTGGTCATCCACTCTTTATCTTCTGTTTCCCTTTTTACCATTATATATGTTATAAAAAGTATGTGGCCTAATGAGAGCTTAATTAACTGTGTGGCCTTATGAGAGCTTAATTAACTGTGTGGCCTAATGAGAACTTTAATAACTGTGTGGCCTAATGATCGCTTTACAACTGTGTGACCTAATGATCCCTTTACAACTGTGTGGCCTAATGATTTTTTCCTGGCAAGCAATGTTTTTAGATATAGCATCACTCTCCAACTACTAAACTATGCACAACATGGCCAAATTAACAAATTCAAACTTTATCTGCAAACACCTCCAATATCGTACAACAAGAGATGGACCTATAGATGCCTAAATCATGTTGTATTATTATATTGGCAAAGTTTACACAGTGGTCGCGCCAACAAGAAAATGTGTGAACCACCAAAATCTAACACACCACTTGAAATTGTCACATTTTAAAATATCAAACGAGCTGGCTGAATTTCTTGGCTCCTCGTGTTACATTTTCCCCTTAGCCTTCTGGTTGCCGCGTGGTGGCGTCACTGGCCTGCCGGCGTTCAAGCCTCCGTAAGGGAACTTTTTCTTATCTGCTGGTTTCAGAATCTGTTGAAGTAAAACAAAAGCATTCAATATGTCAAACTACTGCCATATAAAAATAATTGCCACATAGCTACCACTTTTGCAGTGTAGGCATGATGGAGGAGAGGGGGAGGGGGGGAAGCGAGGGTCGTTGAGCCTAGAGAAAAAACAAATACTAACTGCAATCAACAGATGCAACACATAAAATTCCCTCTAGAAAGGCAACAATTGTACTAAATTTCATAACGAAATACAGTATAAACAACCACGAAAAACAGAGACTAAAACAATTTTGCAATAAAAAGGACCCCCCCCCCCCCCCCCCCCCCCATAAAAAAAAAACCTGACACCAAGGACTAAAACCTAGACAAAAAATAATGCGGAAACAAAAACCCAAGAATAAAAGCCACAAACTTACTTTCTGTGACCACTATTACTATATATACTGTGTGGCAGAATTCAAAATCAAGGCCCAAAAAAAAAAAAAAAGATATATGGCTCTAAGTAAAACACATACAAATGGTATTTTTTAGCTGCCCCCCCCCATTCCCCCTAAACATATGCAAACCCCCACCCCCCCCCCCCCCCGTAAAACCCCCACTATAGACATGCCAAAAAATAGCCAATGGCATTAACTATGCGTACCCCCCCGTCCTATATTTGTACAAAAGTCTCTTAATGGTAGAATTCACTTACCCACTTACCTAGCCACCCCTCATCTACCTTGGGGTGTAGAGGTTTGCCAGAGATATAGCTAGACGACTATCAGCACTTTTCTTTCTGGCTTTGTTCTATTCCAGTCCTCAGTCAGTCAGGGACTGTCGGATGATGTCTTCCCAGCGGAACCTGGAGCCCTGGTTCTTAGCTCCTACGGTGGCAGATTTTCGCCGCCAAACCATCGTAACGGCAACCAGTCCACTTGTCTTAATGCCTCTGTTTTGGTCTATTACAACTCCAATGTATCTGAACTGGTTGACCTGCTCTAATGCATGCTGTCCCATCAAGATCTGGTGTTTCTTCTCCTCTCTTGAGATCACCATGGTTTTAGTTTTGTAGATACTGATGGTCATCCCTCTCTTCTCAAGCCCTTCCTTCTAGACAAGTATGTTGGACTGAAGGTGTGCCTCTGACTTAGCTATTAGGGCCACATCATCTGCAAATGCCAGCTCTGATATACAGAATGGTCTCATCTTCCAGTACCCTACCGAGTACTTCTTTGACTTCTCCTTACAGGTCATGATGTTATGATTCAGGCATGTCCCTGCAGCATGTGCTCCACCAACACTGTCAACTGTATGCTGACAATAGAGACATAATCTGGCCTGTTCCAACCACAATGAAGACAAAGCTGTATGGTACACGAGAAGATATGGATTGCACGATAACTTTCATAAAGGCTATCGGCCTCCTGATATAGGTTTTCTGATAGAAGGATAGAAGAAGAAGACTAATTTCTAAGCCACAGCGCCGCTAGAGAGAAGTAAAAACAAACAATACAGAAAACAAGAAGACAAGCAAATACCTGATGAACTCTACACAAAAGACAAGCAAATACCTGATAAGCTCTACACATAAGACAAGCTAATACCTGACGAACTCTACATATAAGACAAGCAAAATACTATATGAGCTCTACATAGACAAGCAAATACCTGATGAGCTCTACATATAAGGTCCAAATCATGCTTGTGCAAAAATTTTGCGACAACTTCAGCTCCAAATGTGAATGAGACACCCCGGTCATTCTCCCCCCAGCCCATGGTTTCTTTGTCAGGATCTGACCACAACAAGTCACACAGCAAGCCTTGGTCAGGAACATCTGTAGGCCGCATGATCCTTCGGATTTGTTCCATGGATTGTAGATCTGGACTCAAACCTGGAGGAGGGGGAAAACCAGAAAACTTAAACAAAAGACAAGATTGCAATATCAGAAAAACATTTTGATTCTTCTTCTTCTTCACTTCCTCTTTTACCGCTGTGGGTGTCGAGGGAGACATAATGTTCTGTTTCTAGCTCTTCTGGCTGCCTCGACCATAGGCACATCGTGCTGTTGTAGAGTTTCTCTGATGTTATCCTTCCATCTTGTTCTTGGTCTACCCCGTGCTCTACGTCCTTCTTCTCTTTCCATGTATGCTTTGTATGGTATGGTGTCACAAGGCATTCTCTCTAAGTGGGCAAACCATTTCACTTGCTGTCTTTGTATGTAATCCAGAATTGGTTCTGTGCCGACTTGTTCTCTTATGATCTCATTCCTGATCTTATCTCTTATGGTTTTTTGATTAAACTACACAAATAATCCTACTAAGCCAAAGTTACTTCTTCTTCTTCTCTTCCACCTTGTACCTCACAGAAGTGTCGGGGGAGATGCAACATTCATTGATGAGCTCCGTCAAGAGCACTATTAGGAATGATGTTCATATCTGTAAGGCTGTTATTAATGCCATCACTCCGTCTTTTCCGATTAAACAGAATGCTAGTGACACCATTAGTATCGGAACTCTTCGCTGGCTGCTGAAGATGGGGACAGAGCGCTTATGGGAATGACCCGAGTGCGGTGATGTCGGTTCTTGAATCAAATCAAATCCATCTTTTCTGGGATCTTCCACTAGCTCTATACCCGTTGTAACGTTTCAGTATGGCTCGCTGTGGTAGATAGTACCAGAACATTCTTGTTAGGTGTCCAAACCACTTCATTTGTTGCTCTTTGATGACTTTAGGACTGGCTTTATTCCTAGCACTCGTCTGATTTTGTGATGTCTTTCCTTGAAACTCCTGCAGCTCTTCTAAGGCTTCTTCATTTCTGTTGTCACAATGTTACATTCATTGGAGGATATAAGTGTCCACGTTTGGCACTGATAGCATAGTGTCGGCCAAAAAATAGTTATAATTAGATTCACTGAACTTACTGCCACACAGTTAGTACTTTTGAAGCATCTAAACAGCAACAAACACATCTGATAAATGCACTATAAGTATCAACTTTGTGCTATAGGCAGTCCTGTAGAAACATACATGTAAAATCATAATGTGTGAATATGGTATGAACAGAAGAGACAGTGTCACCAATGAAGAACTAAAAACAATGATGGCATAGTATCAGTAAATAATTTGGCAAAACAACAAAGAATCAAGTGGTTTGCTCATCTTGTCAGAGCAGAACAAAATCAGCTAGCAGCTTAAGTGTATAACATGAGAACAGCAGGTGGCAAGACAGGAGGCTGAACAAGAACATTTCCTGGTACCAATTTGAGTTGCAGCCGAATAACCCATCCCTAAAAATGGTTTTCAGTTGTGAAAACTAGCCACCAAGGAACAAACTTTGAAGACTAGGCAAGTGTTTGAGTTAAACTGGAATTTGCTCCCTTAGGGGTTAAAAGGCTTTCAGGTTTGGTTTACAGGGAAACATCTATTATGAAAATCTTAACCCTACTGTACTAGGTAACAGGATTCTTTCAAATAGATGTAGAGAAAGATCCATATTTTTATGCCATTCTGACATGATGAATTGGTTCCAGGCACATATTTCTTGGGGGAAAAAGCACTCGCCGGGTGATAAAATCATTATAACGCCGCAACTGGTCTAGGAGAAAAAGCTCTGACAGGTGAGCAGACAGAGCATTGATCTTCTGATCCTGTGACTTTTCCTGCAGGCTTTGTCGCAAACATTCTCATGTTACCTTTCCTGTGGAGTTAACTAAGCAGGCTAAAGAAAGGCCATGCTGCTACGCCAACACATGGTCTTAACAATACTGGTGCCCAGGCTTTGTGCTACAGATAAGATCACATTCATTCCAGGTCTTAATTGGTCTTGAAAACATCCAGCCATGGCCAGAATGGTGCTTAAATCTCACTCACTTATTGTGGAATATTTTTCTTTACTTCACTGGTCTTGCCGAACCCAGAGCTCCTGGCAGAAAGGTTCCTTAACAACAATATCAAAGTATCTTCCGTTCTTTCTTCTTCGCATTCACCTGATGTAAACTCCTGTGGGAGGGAAGTCTTGGTTGTTCATCAATTCCTGGACTGTTCTTGATCCAGAACTTCGGCTTTACACGCCCATCCATTTTACAGATCTGACATATCTGTATGAATCTGGCTGAATCTTTGCCTCTCAGGCAGATGCACTCTTGACTGAAGAAAACACCCCTAATTAGTCGACTACTAACACGCTTGAGAAAGGGGTGTGTGGTAGTGTGTGACAGGGGGCAGTCCTATTAGTTGTTCACTAAAACAGCCATGCAACAAAGCCTGGCATAGAATATCACAACGTCTAGTTTGAGAATGGAGGTGGAGGCAGTTACTGCTGCATTCCGCTGGCTTGAGAATCAGCTGTACACACGTACCGTGATTGTAACTGACTCACAGAGCATGTTGAAAAAGGTAGACAGGTATGCTCCGTGCAGAGTGGCAAGCATCACTTCAGAGGCCCCGGGTAGTTAACATACTTTGGAAAATGAGTAGGCAGATATCATGACTGGATCTGCACCACTTGGTGGTGAACTGGTATATGACAAGCTATGTATGTTGTGAGGGCCCTGTGGAAGCGAGTAAACAGTGCAGGAGCGCAAACAGATCATTAATGAAAATGGAGCTGCAGGGAGCAACCAGGGGATGTGGCCGACACACAACACTCAAGTGAAAGGCAAGATGGATATAGTTACTGGTGTCTACGGAAATGGATCTCTTCGTATGCTGCTGAAGATAGCGACGGAGTGCTTATGGGATGATGATTCTTAATTCAACATAAGCCCCATAAAAAAAGCACATGTGGAAATATGTCTTTCAAAGCCAAGAAACTTTCATCATCATCATGTGCTATGCGGATAAGTGAAAGTGGTCATGTTTTAATCTCACAAGATCACCAGAATTATTGGTAAGGCCACTGCTCCTGGCCTGTCCCATCCATATTGACAAACCATACAGCTATTTATCTCTTTGCCTTCCACTCGCTCTTTGTCTATCAATATTGCCAGTCATTAAGATCACAGGACCATTCTTTCTCACACTGATGTCTCATTTCTCAAATCAATTTACGACTTTCATCTGCCTTGAGTAGGACTGTCCTGTTTGTTTTCCTATCAAACAGAAGGCCCCCCCCCCCCAACAAAACAACAAAAATCAAAATAAAGAAGTTCAGCAGAGACAACAATGCCCGAAAGGCATGCCCCAGCTGAGTCCCAACTGCACATACAAGTGTAAGGCTTGCATTACGTACCTCCATGGCAGCAGAAGATTTTCTCGTCGATGATCGCAGCAATCGGCAAGCAGTTGAAACAATCTGTAAATGTTTTCCACAGCTTGATGTTGTACCTTCGCTTGCCTAGTTGAAATGGAGATAAAATACAAGGTTCAGCAAAACATAAATCAAGTAAAGTTACACAATAACAACTATCCATGGACTCTCACATCCCTTACTTGTTTCTTAGATTTTAATATCCATATCACAGAAAAAGAGCGTGAACAGTTCGGAGAAGCAGATGCATTACCAGTCTGTTGAGATTGATGCAGCGGGGAGTGACGAGGGGTTCTGGCAGATACTCGAGGCTCAGAGGAAAGGCAAGACGGACATTTAATCAGAATGCTACTGGCACCATTAGTATCAGAACTCCACATTGGCTGCTGAAGATGGGGATGGAGCGCTTATGAGAATGCCCTAAGCGCTGTGATGTCAGTTCTTGAATCAACTCATCAGAGAAAAATTGGCTCTCTGCGTTAAATAGTGCACCAGCTCCTTTCTATCAGGGTACGTCATTCAGTTAATGCACATAATTTTGTTTCTTAGAACTCTTGGGTTTACTGACAGAACTACAGAATCTGTGTTGTGTGTGGTACTCTGAGCAGACAATAAAACGACACCAAACACGGCTGTAAATGAGAATCATGTGTTTCTCTTTAGTATTCTGCATAAGTGTGCTGAATAAATGTTGCGAGGCAACATGAATATCATCATCAAGTGCCTTGCCGACAAGGGTTGGTGATCATGCTTGTCCGTCCACAACCTGTGATCTCCAACAGTATTCATCAGCCCCTGCGCAGACAAACTTCCATGCCAGCAAACACGAAGACTCCATTTTCCATTGATAGTATCTTCGACTAGCCAAAAAAAAAATTTAACATTGCAACTTTTTTCTTAACAGAATTCAGAGCCATTTATGGAGCTGGTCTTATCAGCATGTTTAATCAATCAGGTGCCATCTCCACAATGAAGGTTAGTTGCAATGGATCTCCAAAAAAACACTATCTCTTGTCTAGGCTGTACTCTCTCTCTCTCTCAAACGGCTGTTTGCCCATCTCTTGTTGTTCTACATATGGTGATCTTGGTGTTACTAGACAGAGCATTTGATTTTGGGAAATTTACATCATAGTATAACCATAGCTTTTAATGTCTAGTGTACCATATTTTTACAGTATTTTTTTTAGTTTCTATGAGTGAACAATACCTTTTTCAGTACTCAAACGATTCAAAAACAGCTTTGGACAAGGAAAAAAAACTTATATTCATCATAAAATATGCATATCCTTTTCAATCATACTTGTCGAATTTGTTATCATATAGAGTACAGTGACTGTATATGCATGCATACTGTACCCATAAACATAACTTTATTTTCTTTGCATTCATCAGTTGTGTAAACTTTGGCGGGAAGTTCTGGTTTTTCACCTGCTTCCAGACGTGTGCCTTAATCTAGAACCTGAGTTTTGCATCCACATTCTAAAAGATCTGACATTCATATGCAGACTGTTGGTTCCTTGCTCTCAGGCAGATGCATTCTGACACTGAAAGGAAACATCCATAATTAGCTGACTCTTTCTATATGCTTGTGGACAGTGCTCTCCCCTCCCACCCCCCTACAATGGGGCCATGGAACCCACACGGGGAAGAAAAAAGTAAAAACTTACATTCGTCATAAAATCCATAGATCCTGTTGATGCTGGCACACTCATGGTTGCCTCTCAGAAGAAAAAAGTTCTCTGGATACTTGATTTTGTAGGCTAGCAACAAGCAGATTGTCTCTAGTGACTGTTTTCCTCTGTCCACATAATCACCAAGGAAAAGATAGTTGGACTCGGGCGGGAATCCACCGTATTCAAACAGGCGGAGAAGGTCGTAATATTGACCATGAATATCACCTGTAAAAGTACAAGAGAATCATCACAAGGAATAACCAGTCTTAAATCATCACAAGGAATAACCAGTCTTAAATCATCACAAGGAATAACCAGTCTTAAATCATCACAAGGAATAACCTGTCTGTTCTTCTTCTGCTCTTCTTTTGCCAACAGAGTGGGCACATGCCCTCAACCAACTGATGCCAAAACAACCTATTCTCCTCTATTGCATGCAGCTCACTTGTCCTTCCCATCTTTTTTTAACTTCACTCTTTAGCAGCTGCAATGTCTGGCCTTTCGGCCAACACATCCCACTTCTTTGGGCATTTGTTATCCAGCTTAGCCTTTTCAGTATATTCTGTGGGGTATGTGTAGCCTCATGTGTGTCGTGACCTGACCCTGATCCACAGGTGTTGTCCCTAAAGCACCCATCCAGGGCAGTACTAGAGCATCATGTATCGTCCACATGCAGCTTGGATGACCCTCAAAGGGTAGGGGCAGAGCGTGAGTATTCCCTGTCGCCCATGGAGGCTTCTATAAATGCAGAGCCAATACATGATGATCTGGTACTGGGCTACCCCAAGGAACTGTCACATCCTGCACAGGACTACTTAACCCTATCATGTAGTAGGTCCTTAGCAGAATATCGCTCACATCACGGCCTCCTGAAAGAAACCCAAGTGTTTTTCTATAGCACTTCAGCTCAATGGCCCATTTTTATTTCTACTTAAGCCCACACCTGTATATTGAGCTTTTACTTATTACATGCTGTGCCCTTTAGGAATTCACAGACGTTTGCACAAATGACTAACTCTCTTAGATTTCTCTCTATGACAATGGCGCTATTCATGTGGATGCCCCAAGCAATTTTTTGCAGCACATTGGGATGGCATGGCTTCCCTGCATAGTCATTACACTGTGATGTCTTGCATTTATGTTTTCATTCGAGAAAGAGAATGCCTGTGACACAAGTTGCAGCGAGTGCGCTGAAATATACAACAGGCGATATCAATGGCATTGTGGAACACCCCCGTAGCCTTGGGCGATGGACACTGGGCTCAGAAACTACCAATCAGAAGTGAGCTAATGTGTATATGGACGTGGTCTGGGGAGACTTACATTATTTTTACCCCTTGGCCAAACACAAATGATTCATTTAAACACAAGGTATAAGCTGTCTGGTTATGAAGATGTTTCACCTTCTGTGTTGACCTTTGAAAGGGCAGTTAGCAAGCTGTGTTGTGGTTTACAGCTAGGCACTTTTTAAACCAATACTCTAATCTCAACAAACCCTCAATCTGTCAGAACTAAACCCTGCTCAAGCTAGGATCCCGGAACCCACACAGAAGAACAGTGATACAAGCTGGCTGATCACACAGAGAGCAAATGTCTCGGAAGCTTTAACTCACCACATATCTTTAAAGGAGCTTCAAGTTCTAACAAAATGGGCTGACTCAGGAAGATCTCTCGTGACTTCAGACACAGACCTCTGATTTCAGACTCTGTCAGCTGGACGTTCTTGCCTGGTCTAGACCCTCTAACTGTAAAACATGAAACATAATAAGAACATAAATACTGGCCAGGAGATATACAAAGTTATAGCAAATACAAACCGCAGAATAAAAATGTTGCTTTCTCTGGAACTATTCACGCACCCATAGATTGCAACAACAAAAGCTGTATCTCTGGAATATTTTTTTTTTGGTTGCCCTATGTGGTTTGTGTTGTGCACTGCAGATTCAGAAAATGGTGTGTGGTCTGTTGCCAGAGAACTGGTGGTGCCTTATGTGATGAGTTGCCTGTACAACTACTGATATCATGTAACTGCTGCTTCTATTGATGACCAACTCCATTTATAGTGCCACAATGTTTGCCTTGCAAATAAACGAATGTATGTAAAATGTACCTTCACTTTAAACATACCAACAGCAACCTTGCTGCAAACTGGTCTCTGTGCTGTTTTTCTAATTGCATTCAACTATAACTCTATATTCCTGTTTATTAGTACCATTATTTGCACCATGTTATTTCAAAGTAATATAATTTTTGCAAACCCTGCGTTTTCAGTCAAGAAAAGCTTGTCATTTGCATAACCCAGATTGTTTAAATCATTACCTGTGACGTCTGGCATTATTTTCTATTGAGAAAATTAGCTATTCAATTTCATGGCCAAAGAGATCAGGGGGCACCACTAGTTATTAACAGATGAAAAAGACTGTTCTAGAATGTCCATCCCTGAGATGGGATTTGATTACTGATTTAAGAATCACAGCATACAGGACCTTCCCCCTAGATTGTATCAGTTTCTTGTAGCAAATGCTTTAAGGTACCCATGTACAATCCCAGTGGTACACTGGCTGTATACATACACTTTTCCTCTCATAAGTCCTTTCCTACCGTATCTATAACATAACCCATTGCGGTCGTAGAGGTGTATCGATGGAAACACTAACACACAAAATCCACCATCTTTCTCTGTCTTCCGCTTGATGAACAATTGTATGATAGGTTAGTCCTGACCATTTCTTGATGATGTCATTCCAGGTTCCATACTCTATACTTAATTCCAAATGTAGGTGTTCTGTTCATAAATGGTCAACAAAACATCTGCCTTGTACTCAAATTATGTTATCACAAATGACTTCACTGCACCTGGGCATTCCCATAAGTGCTCAGTCCACAGATGTAGCAGCCAAATCAAGGTTCCTGTACTAATTCTTTCCATAAAAAGCTAGCAGGTGCAAACTCAGCAATTATTTCAAGATAATGCTCGCTCAGAGGATTTGATTATTTACACAGACGGTTCAGTGTCAAGAGGCAAAAGAAGCGCTTGGGGTTTCTTGGCACAAGTTAATGGTCGACGTTTGGTGCAGGAGAGCCTAGCGTATGATACAACATTCAGCTTGAGAATGGAGGTGGAGGCAGTCACTGCAGCTTTCCGCTGGTTAGAAAACACTACACACATACATAATGTGATTGTAACTCAGAAAGCATGCTGAGGAAGGTCAGGACAGGCATGCTTCAATGCGGAAGGCAGCGGCGAGGGGCACCGTCTGGATTTTTTCATGGGAATGCCGGTGTATCGGGAAATGAACAGGCAGACAGAATGGCTGGCTCGACACAATTTGGTGAAATAATAACGCATGATAAGGCAACGTGGTTAGTGCCTTGTGGGAGAGCATGTACAGTTGGGGAGAGCAGATGGATCACCAGTCTGGTGAGACTGATGCAGCCTGGAGTGAGGAGAGGTTCTGGCAGATGCTCAAAGTTCAGAGGAAAGGCAAGACGGATGTTTAATCAGAAAGCTACTGGCAATATTAGTATCAGAAACTCTTTACTAGCTACTGAATATGGGGACGGAGTGCTTATGGGAATGCCCCTATTGCTGTGACGTCGGTTCTTGAATCAACTTAACTCCATAAGATAAGAAGCTGACCATTCTGACCTGACACAGATGGACTTCACCAGGCCACATTATTTGGCTTAGCATCTGAGACTCATTGTAAACCACCTAGTCAGTACAGCACCAATGACAGTAGCTCTGCTCATATTCAACAATGCATTACTTGCCAGTTGGTCCACTCATTTAATATCCCTTTCTCCGGGTTGCTCAGGTGAGTAGATCATGGTCCAGGGAGAAAAGCTTAATTCTGACCTCATAATGCTGTTGTCTAATAATAATTTACAAGTTATTTCTTCTTACAGTCTATGATAGCCACCATGTCTGTCCACAGCCTTCTCTATCTCAACGTGAAGATTTTAACTAACTGTTTAATAAATTTTGCTCTACTTGGAATAACGGTTCTAAATTAACTACGCAGAAAATTAACCCAAACAGAGCCTCACAATGCAGACAGTTAACCCAAACAGGGCCTCACACATATGTAAAAGTCACATTTCTTTTGCAGCGATTCAACCGTGTCAAAAGTAGTATTAACTGCGTACGATTTTTTACGGCGATTAGATTGCGGAAAAACAAGGATTAACTGCGGATGACAAAAAATTACCGGCACGCGAGAATACTCCCGATACGGCAGGGCCCGAGTTATATGTAAGTGGCGGGCCGCTTTTCGCCTACTATAGTGCCACCTCCGAGAGTATCCCCAGCGCCGCTACGCGCGGCGCGGAAGGGGCTAAACTAGATGGCTAGGACTCACGAGCAGCAGCTACCGCAGCTCCTGCAGCTTCCTCCAATGTATTTGCTTGTGAGTCCTAGCCACCTAGTTTAGTCCCTTCCGCGCCGCGCGTAGCGGCGTGGTGGATACTCTCGGAGGTGGCACAATAGTCGCCAGAAAAAAAGTCAATTTACAGGTGCTACTTCGTCTGTCGGAAGTACCAGCGCCATCGTGGCGGCTGCTGGTTAGACGTTGTCCGTACATTAAATCGCGCATTAGAGCTGATCACGTCTCACTCGGAATAAGAATCGCGGACAGGCTGTGCGACATGCGCGTACATTAAACCGCGCATCAGAGCTAATCACGTCTGGTTCGGAACGAGATTCGCGGACAGGCCATGCTGATTTGCGATAGCGAACAGCGAGAAACAACAGATATTGCACGCACTATTTGCAACTAGTGTGCCACAATTTCCACATATCACGAATTTACTTTTCGGTTAGTAGCAGACTTTGCCCTTTTCCTGATACTTTCCGTTCCTTATATTTCCTGAGTTACAACTTTTAAATGTTTGTAGGGCAGGACGTAATGAGGCTCTGTTTGGGATTAACTTTCTGCGTAGTTAATTTAGAACCGTTATTCCAAGTAAAGCCATAAATTGTAATACAATTAAATGAAAGGAATATGCATTAGTGGCCAAACCAGATTACAATGAAAAGCAGAAGACATAGACGCTATTAACTATGACTCTACTAGACCAATGGTCCAAATCTTCAGTCGTACATTACAAGTGTCAATTGTTTAATTACAAACAACACACTTTACACACACTCATACAACAACCCAAAAAAGCAACAATTCTATTTAGTATGCAGTGCAGTCCAACTCAACTAGTTACCTGTCATTTTAAAAATGAACCGGTTTAAGTTTAATTGTTAAAGTATACATATATACTACAGCTTTTAATTCGTAATTTGCATTCAATAATCCTAACAAGAATTACATAAGTGTTAATAAACTCATATCATATCCATAGCTTAAATTAAAACCTAGTAATTGTGACTGGTTGCAGGACTTGAAACGTCAACAAATCTCAGAGAATACAAACAATATACATTAAACTTACCCTCTAAAAGCCTAGCTATAATGCTGTCTATATTTAATTTGTCTGTGTCAGCCATAATATATGATCTTTACAACAACAATATCACTCCAATTACTCCTGGGCTTCGATATTCGTTGAGATGTTATGGGATTCCCAGAGTGTTTCTGTATGTCTGAAATCAGAACCCAAAATGGCGGTCGTTATTGAGCCAGAACTTATTTCGGCGTTGTGATAGGTAGGGATGTTTGTTTACACTTATGTCGGATATTCTTATCTTCGTTTCGTTAATGCATGAGTTTAACCGTAGAAACTTGATGAGAAATAATTTAGGAACAGTTTTAAATATTGAAGAACTTTGATTGTTATCACATAAAATAACCTAGAACTATATTCTTAGCCTTGTATAAACCGGAAGCGGTTTTAGTTAGGTTATTTAATTTGACTCCAGGTTAGTGTTGCCACTTTGAATGTTTTACATCCAGATCTAGATTTTTCCCTTGCATTTAGATGGGGGGGGGGGGGGGTTGACGTCTAGATGGTATATGTAATTCTAGATGTTTATCATTTGGAGTTATTTATTTTATAGATTGTTTTTTCTTTCAATGTCAGTTTAATAATTACTGTATGAAATATTTATTGCAAATTTGTTGTGTGTGTCTGGGCTCGTACACTGGTAACTCAACAATCTGGCAGCCCCGGCACTGATTAGGAGCGCCGCGTAAATCGTACTAACTTTGTTTGAACTGTATCCTCACTGTATGTGAATTATAGCTGTGATGCTGACTTTTTTTTTTTTTTTAATGTCATTTTTTTAAATTATTGCTCACCTTCATATGTGTCTTCCATTTTGAAAAATCTTTCAACATACCAAAAGTAAAGCAGTATGAGCTAAAATTTCGTAAAGAGTGGCTGCATGATGACATAATTAAAGACTGGGTAGTTCCTGGGGGATACAACAAAGGCTTGTTGTGGGTACTTTATATAGTTGAGTATCCTTTACAGGACGTTGCAGAACCAACCCCAACAGCTCCTGGCTGTTGTGTGGTTTTTTTAGGCAAATTTACGTCCAGTAGTTTGCCATTGCCTCTGGACGGTCGGCTTTCTTGATGCCACTGTCGAAACCAACGCAAGGCGCATGGCCCGCAGCTAGGATAGAACCCGGCATCCCGGCGTTACGAAGCGTTCGCATCGACTTAGCCACAGAGCCGACGTTGTGAGTACTAAAATCGTGAAATTAAAGCGAAAATACAAGACTTAAAGAGTCATGCAGAGACTAAAAAGCATAAAACGCGCTGTCAAGATTTCATTGTCTCATTATTAAAGTAACTGAAACAGATTTTCCTGAACATTTAGATGAATTTAAAAAATATTTTACTCTTTTCTGTGATCAACATACTTCAGCCAGTAAAGGACATACCTAAATATTATCAAGTTGTTATGGGCTATTGATAAAAAAAACCAGTGTGTGTGTGTGTGTGTGTGTGTGTGTGTGTGTGTCCGACCGAAGCAGAATGTCAATTAACCAAAGTAAACTTGATTGACTGGACCACGGCCAGCTCCAGATTTATAAGGCCGTACAGCTCGAACGGGAATGTCCGTTCTTGTGCAAGAATTGAGTCCCTCTGCGTCTACAGTTTTTATCGAGGAGATGTATACGCAAATTAAACAACAGTTTCATTAAATTTCGACATAGTTTTTTTTTTAGAACTATACGTCATTTTAAAGGTAAATAAGTGTGCCAATTAAATATAACAATAAAGGCTCTTACAGACAAACAAAAATGCTTTTGCTAGTCAACATGAACATAAAACATCAATAACGTTTAGATGTAAACTAAAAGTTGTTCCAGCAAAAGTAAAGAAATATCAGTGCTGTGAAAGGTTAGTTAGTAAATATTATTTTCATCCACTTACCTAGAGCTCCGAAATATCTTGACACAATTTATCCACAGTGTGGTTGCACCATTTATGCACAGTCAATATGAAAGCAATAGTTTTCTTCAAACACAAGATAGTTTGCACATGACAACTGTCGATAATCTCCAGATATGGCTTCTAAATTACCTGTTTATATTATCCCTAAAAGTAAGATTTCTACATTTAAAGTAGAAAAGTAATAAACAGCCAGTTCCCGAAAATCCGAACTACTGACTAGAAACAATGACACTGACACACACATCACAACACGACTGTCTTCCGTAAATTAAAATTAAAATTGCTGTATATCCACTTCACAATATCCATTTGTAGATTTGTAATACGAATACGTTTAGAACACAGGACTTTGTAAGCATATTAATATGTCGCACAATGCAACATGAAAACGCTCCCAGTAACCTATTTTCGAGGGGGACTCCTCCAAAATGTACCGTGATCCAGTTGTCAGGACCAACATACAGCCGAACGTGGACTGGACAAACAAAACAGAAACTGGGGCGTTTTAGAGTGAAGTGAGACAATTTAAAGATGCATCAGCAAACAGCCCATTCTGTAAGCTCCTTAAATGTCATGATACTACCCCATTCAAATGCTGACGTCGAAAGAGTTTTCAGTGCTATGAATTATATCAAAACTAGCCTAAGAAATAGGATGAAACTTGACTTCTTAAATGCTATCTTGACAATACAGAGTAGTAAAATGTTGTTTAATTTATCAGCTCTCCGATGGTGTATTCAAATAAATTGGAATAGCTGAAGCATACCAGAGTCATTTTTTATCTGAAGCTTTAACTTCATCATCCAAGTTATCCTGAGTATCTTGTAACGCAGACATCAGTGAAGATAATGACATTATTCTATAGGGTAAATCATTTCAACAGCTATGTAATTTGTGACTGTTTTTTTTTTTTTTTAATGTAATTTCTAGTTGTTTACCCGCGCAAATCTAAATATTTATAGATATTTATTACCCATTTCTAGATGTTTTCTGTCAAAGAAATGTGGCAACACTGGACTCTGGCTGACGGTGGAGGTTTTGAGAAGTAGCTGAACACTTGAGTACAGACCAGAGGGTTGGAATCTAGGAAGGGGCGGATTTATTTATTTTTGGTTTAACTTTTGCTCTTATAATGACCGTCTAGCCCGTTTCCCGAGTTTAAATTAACCAAAAAAATATGGTGAGTTGAAACGACACAGCATGAACGAATATTGAGTTCTTTGCTTTTATTCGTTGAATCGCCAGTTATCGCAAACATACATTCATGCTTCCTCGTGCTCGACTTGCTTGGCTGAATCTAGCGACCTGGTCGGACTTCCCACACACTCAGGAATTTATCAGCGTCTCTCGAACCATCCATCTATACTTCATGGACTCTGATATCTGACATTACGACGTATGGAAAAAAACATTCAGTCCTCCTATTGAAATATAACGTTCACTTGACAAATCATTTATTCTTCTCAGGCGTTCATTCACGCGTCCTCTCTCAGTCAGGGCAGAACTTCAACTGTCTTACTTCAGTCTCTCGGTTCACGTCTTCCGTTCACGTCTCATGCTTTTCTTGTGTCTCTCACTTCGTTTACCATGAGACACACGAGACTCACTTCTCCCGTTTTTCTCTTCTCTCACGGGTCCTCCGACCTTTTTCTCCCCATCGGGAACTCTCTGGGGTTTCCCCGGGAATTCACAACATTACAATCTCCCCCTCCCTTCTAGTAAAAAAAAATTTAACCTTAAAATTTTTTTTTCTATTACTTTATCTTTAGGTTATAATTTTAAAGGTTTGGGAATACTTTAATGTAATGATGTGGATTACCTAATAATCATTTTGGGTTTTAATGGTTACTTCCCTTTTGATAGGTTTTACATTATTTCCCTTTGTCACATTACCAGTTATAAGTACCAATAAGTACCAAGTGGCTTAATGGGAAACAACCATTCAGGCACTCTCTTCCAAGTGCGGTAGTCCATATAGGCTCTGCGTATTAACCCCATGCCATCCCACAGTCTGTATAAAACAGAACAACAATTCTGGTACTCTCTTTCAAGTACTGAAGTCCATATCGGCTATGGAACAGAAATGTAGAAAACCCGCAAAGTCCCACCCTCACCGTTGGACTCATGGCTACTGTCACTGGTTTACGTTTCAATTAGAAACCATATGTTTCCCTATTTAGGATTTCGAACTCAATCCCTTGGATTATGTGGTGTAAATTACCCATTACTTTTCCGAAAAAGTATTATTATTCCCTTTCTATATCATAGTAATTACCCTATTACATGTTTTACAACCTATATTTTCACCAATAAATTTATCTAAACAACATATGCAATCATTATTAAACCTTATTTCAACATGCTGTAACATCTTCATTGTCATAATCATCATCATTATTGTCATCATCATCATCGTTATCATCATCATCATCATCATCATCATCATTGTTGTTGTCGTTATCAGCGTTATTGTCATCATATTCATCTCATCGTCATCATCATTCTCCTCATTATAGTCACCATTGTCACACGTATATTGTTACTTACTTACAAATGTAACATACATAAAAATCATCAGTTAAGCTATGTTTACATATTTCATTCATTCAACCATACTCTTTCCTGTAATTCAGGATTTCCCCAGGTAATACATACAATACAAAATTGAATCTATGTTTATAATCTGGACATCACGTCGGGTAGATGGTTTTCAATGCCCTTAATGTGTTCTATCTTGAACTGAAATTGGGATAATAATAACGCCCATCTGTATACTCTTGCGTTATTTGTTGCATCCATTGTTAACAATTTTGTCAGGCCTAAGTTATCAGTCAGAATAATGAATTCCTTTCCTATCAAGAATTTTTTGGAATTTTTTTAAGGCTGATAACAAGAGCGAGAGCCTCTTTTTTCAAAAGTACTGTATTTCTGTTGGGTGGAATTAAGTTTCTGTGAAAGATATAGAACCGGAAGAAGAGTACCGGAATGCCTTTGAGCCAACATCGCGGCTATGGTATGACCACTAGCGTCAGTTTGTAGGTAGAAAGTTTTAGATGGGTCCGGTTGTCTTAGTATTGGTGGAGTGGCAAATGAAGACTTGATTTTTTGTATGATTTTGTCATGAGTTTCTGTCCAATCCTTT